TATCTTTATCTTCTTTTAAAAATATGGTGAAGCAACTATTTACCGAGTCCTGTACCTGCTTTTAGTGTATTTTATCTTCAAAGCCTTTTATTGTTACGTTTTGTTTGTGCATTGTTTTCTTTTTTTTCATGGATCTATTGTATTTTCTGCTCTGTGTTGCCTCTTGGCCAGGTCGTTATTGTAAATGAGAATCTGTTCTCAATTAACCTACCTGGTTAAATAAAGGAAAAAAATAAATAAATAAAATAAATAGAGAGACACCTTGTTTGAAGTAACTTCCACTGTTTTTCCAAATTTAGGCTCAAGATAATTATGACAAAATAAAACTAAAGTGTGGAGTTTAGGACACCCTTTAAACCTTGAGGTCCGGTGGTGGGTTTGTAAATTATGTTTGTTTTAAGAAGTTTCCAAATCACACTATTTGTCAAAGCTAGAAACTGTGAAAACCGGATCAGTTAGTTTGGTCAAATATCTTCCGACAGCTTATGTGCAGACTAGTTTGAAAAACTATAATGTGAAAACATAAGTAGCAAAATAGCAATGTTATGAAGGGTCACTATTTTTTCCAGCACCCATAACATTTGGAAGCACTTCTCTTGGGTCTCAGAGGGATAACTGTGAAATTAATAGATTCTTCTCCAACTGCCACATCTCGTCCCAGACATAGAGGTTAAGGATTTTCTTAAATAATTACTTTTTCTATTTGTCTTCTGTTCAGGACACTCGATCTGATCCAAGCTCATGTTGTGCATGGGGACAGCTACATCCTCAATGAGTCCTTCTTGTGAGTTTCTATGTGTTTATGCTCACCAGTAGATGGCACTACTGTCCAATGCATATGTGACAGTTTTTGAAAGGCAGTATGTGCCTGCACAGAGACACCCACAAAGGTAAGTCTTTTGAAAATGATAATTAAGTTTAAATTGAAAGGAGCAGACCAAGCCCCAGAGTAAATCTGCAAACTACAGTACAGCAGTATTCCTATACGCTGCATTGAAAATGATCAAAATTGAAGTTTTTAATTTAAATCGAATTTAAAGACTTGCCTAAACTGTTCACACTTGTCCAAAACCAACATATCTTTTAAGTATATCTGTTTCTTTCATGCTAGTTTAGTTTTTTGTAACCTAAAAGTATAAAATGAAGAACTGGAAGGAGGGAAATATAACGAGGGAAACATGCAGAGGAAGTGTAAACTTTTTTATTTTTGTTTACCCAAGATGGCTACCACCACGTCTCCTCTCAGGATCTCTATGGAGCCCCTGGATATGAAGTAGAGGGCAGTGAGGACGTCCCCGGCATGAACCAGCGTGTCACCCGGGGGTGCGTGGGTGGTCTTGAACTTCATGGCCAACGCCCTGAGGCAGCCCTTGGTGGAGCCTTTAAAAGCCTTACAGTTCTGCAGCAACGTCCGGTTGAGATGGAGGCAAATATCCGCCTGGAGACACTCAGGGAAACCTTTCAGCACCTGAGGAGAGGAAGCAAGGGAGTGAGGAAGATGAGGGAGGGAGGAGGCGACAGCAGAAGGAAGGATGGAGGAGGGAGGGAAGACATGAGGAGAAAGAACAAAAAAATAAGACGAAGAGTAAGAAAAGTGGACAGACCAAAGAAGAGAAAGGAGGAATATAAGGACAGGAGTGGGAGGGGAGGAGGGGAAGAGAAGAGGTGGAATAAAGAAAGCGTGTGAATTGATAGAGAAAGGTTACATTGGTATTGATACAAGCAATTAGTAGCGATTGAGTGATGCATCAAGTCGAGAACAGAAAGCTAATGTCAAATAAATGTCACAGATTATGGATCCTTTAAAAGGAATAATAAAAAGCGGAGCCTTTACTGTTCTTTATTGCTTTCATCCCTGCTGGAGAACACTCGTGGGACATTAGCCTTTTACTGTTATTACACCATTCCACAAATTAACATGACAAAGCTAGACTGCCTATACATTTATCAGCAGATATCAGTTCCAAGCATCAGAAAAAGTCTTGGTTTTAATTTAATTTTTTTTGTTCATAATTTTAAACTCTTTGTGTAAGATGAAGATCAGCAGTTTGGAGTTCTTCAGAACGGGCCCATGCACTGATTTTCGGGGGGTTCGCTGCAAAATTATTTCAAACTGTATTTCTGAGGGGCCCATCGGAACGGAGTCAGCAGGCCCAGAGAGTGTAATTAATATGAGGAATTGGTGCAGCTTTAATGAGTTCTCTGCAAGCATGGAAAACGGCAGCTCTTTTAAGCAGCAGGCTACGGGCTTCTCTTGTAACTCTCTGGCTGACTTCACAGAACAGAACTGTACCTAAAACACCCACACTGTGTTTCTCCCTCTTCATTTCTCTCACTTTTTTTTTTTTTTTGCCATTTCTAGCTGTCTTTTTCATTTCAGCTTTCACTGGACTTCCTCTTCATCTCTCTGTCGGTCACCGTCCAGCTCTGTCTTTAGCCCTCTTTCACTTCCCCTCCTCATCTGAGGTTCTTCACTTGTTGTCTTGTTTGGCGTGTCATCTTCATCCTATTACTTCTTTCTCCAATAATCACAAGTTCTAGCTTCATTTGCTCCCCTTACCTCTTTTTCTACCTCTCAGCAAACTTCACAGACTCCATCCACACACACACACAGACACACCCTTTTAAATGTTTCAAGGTTGAGTTCGAAGACGGCCGAAAGCATGGGAACAGGGAAATAAACTGAATAAACATTTCACACCCAAAAAAAATCCCCTTTGTGGTTTTGAATAATAGCCTACCATTACTCATTGTGCACAGCAACCGATTTGTTGATTTGTGGGGTGCCAGCTACATTCCCAAAATGTGCTGAAGTCAGATTTTAAGAGCCAGCTGTATCAGGTGTTCTCCTGGCTATGGTTTAATGGTGCATTTAGCAGATGCTGAACTGCCGACTTTCAAGGCTCGGCTGTTATTGTTTTATATAAATGCTCGCTGTCGTGATATATTGTTGTGGCCTTTGCAATGGCTTTGCTACTGAGTAAACCTTCTATTAGTGTGGTAAAAGTAATACTTTATAATAGATAATGTTGTACTTTGGATCTTTACTGCAAAGAGCCCTGTCTCCAAATAGCTCACCTATTAATAATGTTTAGTGCTGGCATATTTGTAGAAGAATATAAAACCTGATAAATCTTTCTCACCCAAAAACACACAGCAAAAGTGGAAGTACTTTCGGAGGTGTTTCCGTGCCGTCGTTCTCCGAGGCTGCCTACAATAATCAATAATCTCCTCCAATAAAGTGGGGCAGAGAGTAGCGGCCTCTGTCTTTATCTCAATGTGCAGAGAGACAGAAAATCAACCTGGACTATAAAAGTGACCAGAGCAGTGTCAACCCTTTGCTATTCTTATGAGATGTATGTTTTATCGTTTCTTTTTGGTATTCCTAGGATGCAAAAAAGTACTGTCCAGTAAATGTGTTAAATATCCAAAACATATGACACAGACGTTAGCAGGCTGGCTCTCGGCGTGGTGATGCTGTTCATTGTACCATTTTGGTCTGGTATGGTTTGCCTAACTCGAACCCTAACAACTGGATGACCTGAAATGAACTGAATTCAGTTGACTGACTTTAGTGATCCCACGACTTCTTATCTTGCAATCAACAAGTTACATGTTCTAGACAGACAAAATCAATGTCCAGTGTGTTTTGTATGTCTTCATAACTTGGGAGGGAAAAAGCTGTGAGAGTATAAAGTTCCATATCCCCGGCCATTTAGATGACAGTAAGAATTTTGTCCAGTTTCTACCAGGAACTGTGTAACGAATAGCTGACAACCTAAAAATCTTGAGCTTTGCCCCCCCTCGCTCTCAGTGACCCATTCAGAGCAAACAGCTATCTTACAGTAAACCTGGGTTAATTTGCTCATAAGAACAACCAAATGTTCTGCTTTTGGGTGCAATCCTGAACACAAGTGTCTGCATGCACTCCCAGCGTCTGAGGAACTAAAGACTCAGTGGATTTCTTTTATTTTTATGGCCACACAACAATAAGAAAATCCAAAGTGTTAGCATGCTGCGTGGCAAATGTGGCTCATGGCTTTGATCGTATGCCTCTGCTCTGTGGAAACTGCAAAGCTGAGGGAAATTCAGAGATAGTGGAAAATATAGGACTGATCTGAAACCAATAAATAAGGACTGG